GCGCGAAGACCGCACCGCCCTCCCCCCCTCCTTTTTTTTTCTCTTTCTTCAATTTTTTTTTTTTCTTTTTTTTTTTTCTTTAGGTACAAAATGCAGTGCGTTGTCAAGGAAGGCCCTCGTGTCATGTTCTCCATTCTCTCCCTTTCTTTCTTTCTTTCTATCTCTTTATCTGTCTATTTGTCTCTTTTATTTATTTTTCTCTCTCTCTTCCTTTTTCCCTGCTTTCTTTCTTGCTCTTTCTGTTTATCTTCTTTTTTTCTCTATTTCTTTTTTTTTCTCTCTAGTTCTTTTGTTTCTCTCCCTTCATCCTTCCCCTACTTCTCTCTCTCTCTCTCTCTCTCTCTCTCTCTCTCTCTCTCTCTCTCTCTCTCTCTCCTCTCTCTCTCTCTCTCTCTCTCCTCTCTTCTCTCTCTCTCTCTCTCACTCTTCTCTCTCTCTCTCTCTCTCTCTCTCTCTCTCTCTCTCTCTCTCTTCTCTCTCTCTCTGTCTCTCTCTCTCTCTCTCTCTCTCTCTCTCTCTCTCTCTCTCTCCTCTCTCTCTCTCTCTCTCTCTCTCTCTCTCACCAGAATAAACCGGAAAATAACACGAAAGTGAAAGAAAAAGAAATTTATGCGCACGCACACCCGGAAAGAAACGCGAAATAAAGGTAGATAGACGAATCAATATAGAGATAGACAGACAGATAAATAGGTAGATAGGTAGGTAGATAGCAGATAGATGAATAGATAGATGATAATAAAATGATAAAGAGACAGCCAGACAGACGGATAGATTTAGATAAGATAGATGGATCAATGATAGATGGATAGCTAGATAGATAAAATGATAAAGAGACAATCATACAGACGGATAGATAGATAGATAAGATAGATGGATCAATGGATAGATAGATGAATAAATGGATAGAGACAATCAGACAGATGGATAGATAGGTAGATAAGATAGATTAATAGATAGAGAGAGAGAATGTAGATGGACGAATATATAGACAGATAGAGATAATGATAGACAAACAGAACACAAAGACGAATATATGGATAGATATTATAGGTAGATATATGAAGGATATAAATCAAAACAAACATTTAGAAACAGTTCGATATATAAATTTTAAAGACAACTAGCTGCACGAAGACGGAAATGCAGTGCGAATAAGCAAAGAAAAAACTAAATACGGTGCGAATAAGCATAACACAAACAAACATGTGCGAATAAGCAAAGCACAAACTGCAGTGCGAATAAGCACAGCACACACTAAATGCAGTGGCAATAAGCAAAGAAAAAAAAAAAACGAAATACGGTGCGAATAAGCAAATCACAAACCACAGTGCGAATAAGCATGACACACTAAATACAGTGCGAATAAGCAATATACACACTAAATGCAGTGCGATACTAAAATACGTGCGAATAAGCAAATCACAAACTACAGTGCGAATAAGCATAGCGCAAACACACCGACCAGGAGCTAAGTGACGAACCGAAACCCGCCCACCGAGGCTGTATCATGAAGTACAGGCGAGTACAAAGGGCGGTGGAGAGAGGGCGGGAGGGGGGGGGGAGGGAGGAGGGGAATGTATACACACACACATACACACACACACACACACACACACACGCACACACACACACACACACACACACACACACACACCACACACACACACACGACACACACATACACACACACACACACACACACACACACACATATGTATATATATATATATATATATATATATATTATATATAATATATATATATATATGTATATATATATTAGGGACAGGCAGACTGACAGAAGGAGCGACCTCGAGAGCGCGAGACAGACAGACAGACAGACAGACAGATAGACAGACAACAACCGCGAAGCCGAGGCGTAAAACGTCGATAATTGGAGTAGCAGCTCGAGGCGGCGGCGGCGGCAAGGGGCGCGGGTGTCGCAGTAGCCGAGGGCCACCAACCCAGGTCGAGGTGCCAGCCAGTGCCAGGCGAGGAGGGCCAGGCAGGGCCAACAGCGAGCGACCCACCTGGCTGCGAGGGAGGCTGGGCACGGAGAAGCCGGCCGCGTGTATTGATCCATGCGGTACCCCCTTCCCTCCCCTCGCCCCCCCCCGCTTTCCCTTCCCCCCCCTCCCCTTCTCTTCCCCTTCTTTCCCCCCTTCATACACTTCCTCTTCCTCCCCCCCTCCCTTCTCTTCCCTTCTCCCCCCTTCCTCCCCCCCTCCTTCTTTCCCCTCCCCCCTCCCGCCCCCTTCCTACACTTCTCTTCCCCCTCCTTCTCTTCCCCTTCTTCTCCCTCCTACACTTCCTCTTCCTCCCCCTCCCCCCACCTTCTCTTCCCCTCCCCCCCTCCTACACTTCCTCTTCTTCCTCCTCCTTCACTTCCTCTTCCCCCAATCTTATTTTCCTCTTCTTCCTCCTCCTCCTTCCCTTCTCTTCCCCCATCCTTCTCCTCCTCTCCCGCTTCTACTCCTCTCCTACAGTTCCTCTTTCCTACTCTTCCTCTTCCTCCAATCTCCTCTCATCTTCTCTTCTTCCCTCTCTCTTCCCCTCCCTTTCCTCTTCTCCCTTCCCCTATTCTTCTCATCTTCCATCTTCCTCTCCCCTCCTCCCTTTTTCATTCTTATGTCCCTGCCCTCTCCTTCTCCCTGTTACCCCGTCCTTTCTTTCTCCCCTCTCCCTTCTCCCTTCCCTCTTCCTCTTTCCAGCCTTCCTCTACCCCTCTTCTTCTCTTCCCCTCCCTCTCCATTCGTTCCTCCTCCCTCCCCTCCCCCATCACCCCTCACATCCCCCCTTACCATCCCTCCCCTCACT